ATGAAAGATTTTATTCCCATTCTCATTTAATCGACACGTTTTTCATCGTGATAAAAGATGATTTCCATTTAAATGTTAATTTTTTGTTTGAAATTTTGGCCTAATTTCTTGCAAAATTTTGTATAATCGTCGCAACTTGAATATTCGTTATGTGATACAAGTCTCTATTGCAAAGCTAAAGTCGGATTTCTTTTAGGCATATTGAAATTTCCAGCGTTTATTTTACTACGTCTTGGCCGTTATTAAATAAAGACTTGATTATCGAAATGTTCATTTATTCATTACTCAGAGTTTTCCATCCCAACTTCCTGATAAAGTCAGTGTATAGCTATAGATTCTAGAAAGATGAAAAAATTTATAATTGTAAATTTTATTTCCAGTAATCAAAGTTGATTTATGCATTCGTGATATTTCTGACTGAAGAATACATAATAAAATTAAAAATATGAAGAGACGAGCAAGTGCTTTCGTCGTTAGCATCGGTGGTTCAGTGGTAGAATGCTCGCCTGCCACGCGGGCGGCCCGGGTTCGATTCCCGGCCGATGCAATGTTGTGTCGTGCAATCTTTTAATCCAGCATAAGTAAAAGGTGTCTCTCAGATCCCCTTACGTTTGACCACATGCTGATGTGTCTAATGCACATCGGCTTTCACCAGTGTTGTTCTTCGATTCTTCGTGTGCCATTTGAATAGATGTGATTCTCGAATTCCGTTCCTGATTAATTTATCGAGGCAACATTATTCGAATTACCCGTGTCTTATTTGTTTGACTAAAAAACATTTTTATTTTCATTTCACTTCTTAGTGCTGCAATGAGCATGTCCTGAAACAGTTCTGTATTTTTAGGTATCAATCTTGATAACCCATCCACATGTCCTAATTTTTTACACATTTGGTACTCCATTGTAAAATCATAGTTTAATAAGATGGTACCCAAATGTTGTAGTCTATTAGCTGTATGTCTAGGTATTCCTTTCTTTGAAACATATATTTCTAATAAAGATCTGTTTGCAATGAGAAATGTTTTATATGAATAAATTTATGAAATTTCTTCACAGCAAATATAATTGCTAGAGCCTTCTTTTTCTATCTGGCTGTGATATTTCTCTGCTGGTAGAAGCAAAGATGAAGCATGAGCAAATGCTTTCCTTTTACTGCCATCATATTTGTGTAAAATAACAATACCATACTAACTAGCATCTGATGCCACTACAATTTCTGCTTTTGGATCATAGTGTGCTAATGATAAATGATTGGAGCATAGTGTGCTAAAGATAAATCTCATGTAAGTTTTTTTTTATTTTGTCAAACACATTTGACAGTTATCATTCCAGTTTACTCCTTTTTTACTTTACTCTTTTTTTTAAGTCACTCATTCAATAGAGCTCACAAATTATTCATATTATGCACATATAATTGATCATAATTAGCCAGTCCTAGAGAAGTGAGTAGTATAGTTACGTTTGTTGATAGAGGCATATTTTTAATTGCACTTGCCATCAACGTATCTGGTAGCCAATCATTTTAATCAATAATTTGATCAAAGTAAAACTATTTGCATTTTTCGTCATTGAGCTTGAATCTGTATTCTCTTAGTTTTTCCAAAATTGTTTTCACATGTCCAACATGTTGTTATTTAGATACATTTTTGATTAAAACGTCGTCCAGATATGCCACTGCAAAATTGCAATCCACAATCATGGTATCCATAGCTTGTTGAAAAATATCTGGTGCCACCTTTATACCAAAAGGAAGTCAGTTAAACTTATATAATCCTCTGTGTGTATGTATGGTTGTTAATTCTGAACATTCATTTTCAATCTGAATTTGTAAATATTCTTCAGAAAGATCCAGCTTTGAAAATATTCTTCTGCCATTTAACTTTGAAAAAATTTCCTCTGGACTTGGTCATGGGTAGTTCTATATTTCTAAACAATTTTTTAATCCTGTTGAGAAACACAATTTTTTTTATCTTCATACACCACTGATGCAGCCCAATTTGAATGGTTAATTTTTCTATTACACTAAGTCTTTTGAGTCTGTCCAACCCCTCATTGACTTGTTTCAATGCTGCAAATGGTATGCTCCATTTCAGCTTAAATACTGGCATCGATTCTTTTTTTTACTTGAAAGTCCACACCGAATTTTGAACACCAACCCAGTTCAGTTGACAGAACATCTGGAAAACATTTTTTTAATTCTCTTTTAAGATTTTCGCTCTGACTTTCTAAATTGGTCACTTGCCCACTAATGTTTTACAATAAACATTTATCAGCAAATCCCAAATATCAAATCGTTCTATCCAGTCACTACCAAATAAATTTGTAGCATTTTTTAATACATAAGTCTTAGTTTTTACATATATGGAATGAGACATTAAAAGTCATTTCTCAAAAAAAAAAAAAAAATAATAATTTCTCACCAGAAACTGAAAACATGACTTTGGAAATCCTTTTTAATAAAGACTTTCCATTTCACTTTCATGTGATTTCACTAATTATTGAAATATCACTACCAGTGTCCAGTAGCATTTTCACACCAACATTATTTATTTTCACATTCATAAGTTTCCTTTTATTTTCTGTGATCATTTTTTCCATTACAATACTGTGTACTAATTTCTTCTTGTGAGATTTTTTTCTTGGTTTGGTTTTGCAGTGTGACTTTATATTGTCCTCTTTTATCACACTTGTAACATTCTGCATTTTTAAATGAACAATTACTTCCAAGATGTAATTTACCACATCTGAAACAAAGATTTATTCTCCTTTTTGTACATTTGTCTTTTCATTATACCAAAGCACATTCTTTTTTTCTGAATTTCTTCAGCATCATATTTCAAACTTAGGATTGTCTAGCAATCATCCACTATTTTTTGCAGTGTAATATTACTGTTTTGTTCAATTTTTCTTAAAACTTTTGCTCATATTTCAGCATCTTTTTTAGCTGTTAAACTTTGAATGAAAATTAACCCTTTGAACATATCTGAGTCATTTCCTTTATTCTAAACTTGTCGCATTCTTTGTTGTTACAATTCATATTAGTTCCTGAATCCTCGTTACTGTTATAAATCGTAAGAGATCCGAATCCTCGTCACAATGGTTATAAATAATCTGAGTTTGGAATCCCTTGTCTCCACTGTTATAACGCGCTTCCTAGCACTTAAGTAATGCTTCAGCAATTTGCTGTGATGCCTGTATTACTTTGTCTGAAGACTGACTCCAAATGGCTTCCTCTTCCCACCTCTGACCTGGAGGTCTTTATAGTTATGGATTAGTTCATTTAATCACTGGGATGTACTGTTTACTCCATAACATAACACCAGCCAAGCACTTGGCCATGGTTCAGATCTTTTCTGTATAGTTCGGTATTGGTTTCAACAGTTTGGCCAAAAAGTCAAGATATTTGAAGATTATCAAGGAAAAAAGTAATCCTTTAAAAATGACACACAAAGTGTTTTGAGGATTTAATGACTCCAACTCCAGAAAAATGTATTCTTTCTTTACAGGTGAGGCATAAATGACAGTTATTCTCTGACAAACACGTGTTTCAAAGGACGTAATTTGATTAAACATACTTAGCATTATTTGCTTCTTTTGTCTCAAACTTCCATTCTTATAAAAATGCTATTATTTTCCAATCAGCCAAGGAGTTTAATCTTCAAGCAAAAGCTTGTCTCATATCTATCATGGGAATGATGCATTCTGAAAAGTGACAAGAGGTATATATTTTAAAATATATTATTATGTCAATGTTGTAAATTATATGATTTTTTGGGGAGTTAATGCTGAAAATTATTTTATTTTTTTCTTATTATTTAACCCCAAGAAATGTGATAAAACCATTAAAATGCAAAGATTATTGAGAGTGAAAGAATGTAGTTTAGTTGTTGAGTCGAAAAAACAATAAAAGAACAGGATTAAAACAATACAGATGTCATCTGACAATGCATTTAAATTTTCAGAAGTCATAGTTAACATGAAAGCAAGAAGCCAGAAGATTGTTCCACAGGCAAGAAGTGCAAGAAAAGAAACTATTAGAATAGAACTATTATATCAATAAAGTGATGAGACCTATCTGCCAATCTAGTAATATGCCTAAATTCATGAAGATATCAAAAAAGGAAAGCTCATTAGAACTATCACGATGAGAATATTTATAGAAAAGGCTCAGGTAAGCTACATTTAAAAGACATTCATAAAATAAATTGAATGAAATAGGCAACAGAAAAAATGAAGACTGATTTTTCACCCAAAGACACCATGATACACTCAATGAACTAAACAGATGGGGGTAATGGTGAGGTAGGTCCCTGGGGAAAAAAACCTTCACTGGTTATGGTATCAACAAGGAGGTCGTATGATATTTTGGGGTGGGATTATATCTGGTGAAGTAGTAAGTCCATCATTAGTTCTAGATGGTGATAAAATGACAATTCAAGCATACACTGTTTTTTTCAAGGCAGTTTATTGATTGATTTGTTTTTTATGGTTTATCAACATTTTGTAGGTTATTTAAAACTAGAAAATTATTTTTAAGACTGTAAAAATTTTTTGGAGATAATAATGATTTGCTCGTATAAGTTTTACTAATTAACTCATATCTGGAGTGGTGGGAGGAGAATAGTTAGATTCATAGCTTTCCTATGAGTATTTGTGCCTAAATAAATATAATGAACCCAACTGGAATTGAAACTCAGCTTTCCAGTTAACAATTCTGAGTTGTTATTCTTTACACCACCCACACATCCAAGTGTATAGCACCTGATATTCGTACAAGAACTGGTGCCTCAAAGAAATATAACCATAAGCCCAGGAGAGGTAATAATTTACTGATACAAGTCCTATTAATTAACACATAGCTGGGGTAGGGAGAGATGGATTCATACCTTTTCCAATGGTATTTGCATGTAAGTAAATATAATGAACCCAACTGGAATTGGAACTTAGCTTCCCAATTTCCACTTCCAGTCATTATCCATTACACCACCCGAACATCCAAGCTGACATCACCTGGTATTCCCAAGTGGTCACCCATCTAGGTACTGACCAGGCTCAACATTGCTTAACTTCAGTGATTTTTTGGTGGTAAAGTAGTGGGCTAATCATTAGTTCAAGATAGTATTATAATGACAGTTCAGGCATACACTGATATCTTGAAGAAACACCTGGTGCCTATCATATAAGAAGACATGCATTCAGAAAAATGATGCAGTTTATATGTGGCATTGTTCTATCATATTCTGTAAAGATATGAATTTGAGCTTAACTGTTTTTATTTAGATTATTCGAACTGTTATCTTCATCTTCATTGCCAAATTCACAACATTTCGGCTGTTATACTCTCCGGCCTTCTTCAGGTGATTGGAATTTCCAAACGAACCTTTTATTTCATCTGCCGGGGTAGATTGTTCTAGTTCGACATGCCATGTTTCTTCTGGATGTCTCAGTTATTTCCCTTTAACTCAACTCTCCTGTTTTTATTATAAATACTAACAATAATTTATCTGGTACAGGAAGATTTTATTATGCAACTCAAGGATCATTCATCAAATTAGAAATATATATATATATATATATATATATATATATATATATATATATATATATATGAAATGGATAAAGGCCAACAATTATTTTAAGACAATTTTATGTCTTAAATTTAAATTTTAAGACATTTAAATGTCTTAATATATATATATATATATATATATATATATATATATAAAAAAAGATAGTTACTGATATATATCTATATATTTTTTAAATTTCAGATATATAAGGTTTGCTATTGGTTCTAATAAAGATATAATTTTAAAAGAAAAACAAGATATTGATAATATGGGGGCCACAGAATTGAAAACTGAAAAAGTTGAACAGATAAAAAAAAAAAGAAACTGAAAACATTGGTAAAATAGAAACAAGTAAAACTCCTTAAAAATATAACAAAAAGAGATTTGAGAAAAATTCAAAGAGTCAGAAGCTTTTGATAAAGTACATCACAAAGAACTGTTGGAACAATTAGTTGAACTTGATATATTTGGGAAGGATATTAGAATAATCCAGAACTTATATTGGGAGCTAACTGACTGTTTGTGGATAGAAAATGAATTCAGTAAATATACAAAAATAGAAAGGGGCCTAAGACAAGGATGTGTCTTCTCATCAGATTTATTCAACCTTTACAGTGAAGGAATCCTGAGAGAATTAGAAGTCCTACCAGGATTCATTATTGTTGGCCACAATCTTAGCAACATTAGATATGCAGATGACACAGGATTGATAGTAGATATAGAAATGAAAATGCAGGAATTCCTAAATAAGGTATTAAAGGAAAGCAAGAAGAAAGGACTAAACATCAATTGTAAGTAGACAAAATATATGGTTGTCAACAAAAAGAAATGTGCTACGTGCAAATTACAATTTGAAAATTCCAAAATCAATTAAGTACAGAAGATGGAAAATGTGACACTGAAATCACAAGGTGCATTGAGATAGCAAAAGATGCCTTCCAAAAGCTAAGCAAAATCTTAAGAAACAGGAAAATCACATTAGAAATAAAGAAAAGAGTACTGCTTTGTAATATCTGTCTGCCTATATGGCAGCAAATGCTAGACAATCTCCACACAGATGAAGAAGAGAATTGATGCAACAGAAATGTGCTTCTACAGAAATATGCTAAGAACACTATGGACCGAACAGGTGAACAATGACCAAGTTTTAGAGAAAATGGAAAGAAAAAGAACACTTATTCTTAGAATCAGAAAGAGATAACTGAAATTTTTAGGGCACATGATGAGGAAAGAGAGCTTAGAAAATTTGACACTCACAAAAAATAGCAAAAAGGATAGAGGAAAGCATAAAATAACCTACCTAAAAAGCTTTTGTAAATGGTTGGCAGAAAAGAGATTAGGAGAGATAGTGAAAAGACAAAATTTATTAAGAGCTACAAGGGACAGGGAATTGTGGAGAGCCATGATCGTCCATGTCATGAAGGAGAACTGATTGACCAGCAAGAAAAGATTTGAAGTAGATGGTGTTGCAAATGTAAACAGAGAAAAGATGAAGATGAAAAAAAAAACACGAAGATTATAAAGAACATTAAAGACATGAAATCAATTGATCTGTTGCTTCAAGGTAAACATTACAAAGACACACATTTAATTTAAGCAAAAAGGACATGAAAATATCAACAGTAATTTATTTACACTATTTACATTGTTCGTACTGTTTTCTTCCTCTTTGTTGCCATATTCACAATGTTTTGGCCATTGTTCACTCCAGCCTTCTTCAAGTGATTTTGTTCACAAAAACTTGGAGAATTGAATTAAAGGAAGATAACTGATACTGCGACATTCGGAAGTGGCATGGCATGTGGAACTAGAACAATCTACACCGGTGAATAAAATAAAGGGTTCAATTCAAAATTCCAATCACCTGAAGAAGGCTGGAGCATACATTGGCTGAAAGATGAGGACAACAGGCCATACAATGTAAATAGTGTAAATAATTACAATATCTCATCTCAGAAATATAGACAGTAATTTAAATGCTGAATATGAAGTAGATGGATTGGTTCCTTCATGAAAATAGACAAACAACATAACTTAGAAGACAACAGAGGAGAAATGGAATAATGTCTTGGGTTAATATTAGACAGTAAAATGATTGGTCACTTCAAAGTTGAGGATGGTATCAAGATAAATGCAGAGAATTATTTTGTTTATGGACAAGGTATTTTTTGAATGGCGCAGATCAAAACAAAGAAACTTCAAGCTAAACAGTATTTTCATGCAAGACAGATTTTTTTTTTTTTTATATTCTGCAAATCTGAATATTATAAACCTTACCCCAGAAAAAAAAAATATTTCAAAGACAGCCTCTCCAGACATTAATTCAATAGAAAACTTAAAATTCCTTATTTAAAAAGTGATGTATCTAGGAATGAAAAACATTATTCAGGCAAAGAAGGTGTCGGGGAAGGAATAAAAAATTGTTGAAAGTAATATTAAATTAGAAATACTAGACAAGTTAACAAAATCAATGGTTGAAAAACTTAAATGAACATTTTGGGAACAATTGAAAACTGAACTCTCAAGACATTTCCATCTAAGTCCTTTTCTCTTTTAAAAAGATTAAATTATAACACTTACATTCCTCTATAGGTTAGCTTTACTTACACAATTAGGTTTAAGAATATATTAGAGTGTTCTTAAATTTAAACATTTGAAAACTTAATATTTTTACTTTTGTTTATAAATACTAGTTGCAAAATAAAATCTTTACATGTATCTTCATAAAGTCTCTCAAAAGTTTTCCTTTTGTCTTTATTCTTTTTTACAGATATATTTTATTTATATCTTAACTTATATATATCTATATCTATCTATCTATCTATATATATATATATATATATATATATATATATATATATATATAAAAGTTATTGGTCAGAGCTGAATTAGACCAGAAAACAGTAATATTAAAAAGTGAATAAAGAAAATAAAATAAAAATTTATCAGACTAGCCAGCCTCATGTGGAAATTAAAAAAAACAAAGATCCCAGTGTAAACTGAGAAATATTAAAAAAAAAAAAACGCCAAACCTAAGAACAATCAGAGTGATATCTGCAATCTTTGCCCAGAAGAAAAGTTAACAATAATAACATTTCGAGACCGGAAAAACCTTCTGAATGATAGATCAGAAATAATGACATGATGCATACACACAAAAAAGTTCCTCTTGAGTTTGTATGAACCAGGATGAAAATATGTACATTTCATATATAATTTCAATACTGTTGCTTTTCTCCTTGCCTTCTATTACACTTTTTGCATTGTGCATTTATTTATTTTTAAATAATAAAGCATTAGGAAATTATTTAGCACATATCACCTGAAGATACTGAAAAGTTGAAACCAAGGTAGTGTGATTGGCTGATCTCCTAATTTTTTTTTAAATTCTAAAACCCTGCATGTTAAACTTTTATTTTATTTATACGTGTATTGAGCACTTTTTAATACTATTGTTTTCTGGTCTAATTCAACTCTGACCAATAAATTTTTCATAATTATGCCTGATGATGGATAGAAGACTATCCATAAGTACTAGCATTTTAACATCAAATAAACTGAAAAACTACAGACAACAAGTTTTTCGTCAAGGATCAAAACTCACACTATGGATGAACAGGATTTTAATGCATATATTATGTTTTCTAGCGATGGATGTCGCCAATAATCGCATTAATACTTCTGATTAATTCTATGTGTGATTATTTCTTTGTATGTAAATCATATGCTGCCTAATGTTTTATGTTTATTATATATATATATATGTGTGTGTGTGTGTGTGTGTGTAACTTTGGTTTATAGGAATGCTAGCAGATTTTTACATTAAATTTTAAGTTAAAAAATGTGCATCTTATATACCAAAAAAATATGGCATTATATATATATATATATATATATATATATATATATATATATATAAAGAAATATAGTCTTAAGGTGTGCTATATTTATGGGATAAAGTGCTCAATATCAGAGATAGAGTGTGTGTAAATATAAAAGTGAACATAGAAGTCAACACTTAGAGGCGACAGTCTGTTTCATGCTATATGCAATCGTCAGGCCACCTGCCGATTGCATATAGCATGAAACAGACTGTCGCCTCTAAGTGTTGAATTTATGTTCACTTTTATATTTATATATATATATATATATATATAAACACACACACACATATATATAGTGCAATGGATAAATTGTCATTTAAATTGTCATTTATGCAAGAATGAAAATAACACTGACATCTCATTTTAATCGATATATTTACCAAAATTACACAAAAATATCTTCAGATACTAAAGAGTAAATTTATTCAATAAAATCAACATTAACTTTAACCACGGCCCCAGACAACTTCGGAATAATAATAAAAGGCGTAATAGAAGGGGAAGAGAAAAAGCAAGGCCTCCCCAACTTCTGATACAATTTTAATATCCTTGCTTTTTCTCCTCCCCTTCTATTACACTTTACATTGTACATTTATTTATTTTTAAATAATAAAGCATTAAG